GGAACGATGTCCCTTGTACAACTAAGTACAGATTTATTTGTGAAAAAGAGTAAGAATATATATATTTCCATCAGAAAAATTCTTAATCCATTAAATCCAAAAAATATCTTAAAGTTTTGAATTTGTTTTTGTTTTAAACCATTTGACTCCTGTTGACAGACAAAATTGTAGAGTTAAGATTCCAAACCATACACAAGATATCAGTGTATACTACAATTGCTTTCATAAGGTTCTAGGATGACTAATGCATGATGAATATTTTATGCGAAAAAAAAACAGTGTTTTAAAACTATAATTGAAAGTTTATTTTGAATAAATATGTTTTTCATTTTATTTAACTGTAAAATTGGCGCAAATGAAATGTTTTATTTTTCTCGCAAATAAATAAGATTTGTGGCACAAATAGAAGATGTTTTGGTGCAAATGAAATGCCCATTGGCGAAAAAACAAATCACCAAAACCAAGAAATATGAAATCACATTTAAAAAAAAATCCGATAGAGAAAAATACTCATCAGTCCAATACAGATTAAAGTCATATGAAACCTCAAATTAAAAAAAATGATGCATATGTCTTTTATAATTAAATGGATAGTTTTCATTATAAAACTTATGTACATATACTTTTTTTCTGAAGAAAATTCTTTAATTTGTCCACATTTAGAAGAAGTTTACTTTTTTTTAATTGCTTGCTTCCAGGAAGCAATTCGCCGACATGTTTTCTGTATGCAAGTGACCTTAGCGTGACCCTTCTCGTAAAAATCCGGTGATCGCAATACGCATGGATCTGTCATTAAATGGATCTGTCATTAAAATAAACTATTATCTAATTGTACATGTTATACACGTGCTCAATTTCCATGATTCTTTGTTGATTGTTTACTATTAGGTGACAATCGGTAAACTACGGCTTCAAAACACGACAATTAAGTAGCTGCCATATTTTCACATCTTAACAGACAGAGGGGAAACAAATTGACGATTATACGATACGTTTGCGTAAAAAATGATAAAATCGTGCAGAGAAGACTTAGTTTATGATATATACATGCATTGGTTCAAGAATTGGATAAATATCATTTTTCACCAGTCACTCGTTTCATATGACTTTAATTCAGTTAAGTTTGGTGCAAATGAATTCCATAAATTAGCGCAATTGTTACATTTGAATATAAAATTTGACGCAAATGATACGTCTTAAAAATAGCAATATTGGCAGAAAAGAACGGCTGCCAATGAATATATCTTATGTTGAATTTTACCAAATTCGATTTTACAATGTATTAACTATTTTGAATGATATAAATACAAAGAAGTAAAGTTTCGAATTTTATTAATTTGAAGAAAAAGTAAAAAGGTTCAATGTTTTTTAAAAGCGAAATGAACGTGATGAGAGAAGATTTTATATTTCTATATTCACAACTGATAATGCATGTAATTCTATTTTTCTGCAGGTATTCTGGTTCTGAAGTAATTGGATAAAGATAATAAAATTGTATTTGTACAACTTATATTGATTGCATTCAGAAAGTTTATATGACCCCACCCCCCCCCCCCTCTTTCCACTCCCCGGCTTCTCCCCCTAAACAACAGTACATGATGGAGACGTATTTAAAGAAAAGTACAAAAAGTTATACATTATTTTATTATAAGATGTCAATCCGAATCACAATCTTTTTTTAAAAATCTAAGAAATTGGTACTTTGTTCTTTTTAACCCTATACATGTAGGACTCATTTTATTTGTACTTATTTCATTAACTGGAATACAATAATAAAATAGTCTGGATAATGTACTTAAAAACAAATCAACAATTTTACATATCCATCAAATCAAAATATAATTTATCGATACATATCACAGTTGAAGACGAGAGCCCCTGAGATTGCAAATTAAAGAAAAACGTCATAAACATAGATTTACAGAGTATTATACAATTAATACAGAACTATTGTCCTTGCTGTCGTAGATGATTTCATTCAGCTTAATTTTCAATTAGCAAAAAACTCGTTTTTGCGTAAATATAGAAATATTTGGAATACTGGTTTATGCATGAACTCTGCATATATATGTAGAACTCAAATCTATGGTGGGTTCCAAATCTATGGCAGATTCCTAATCTATGGTAAATGTGACGTTACAAACGTCAAACAAATAAAATATATGGCGGATTTTTTTGTTTTCTTCAAATGTATGGCAGATCTTTAAATTGCGTAATTTTCCGGGGGAAAGAGTAACATATATCGTCACAAATGAATAGCGCCATATTACTTTGTCGCCGCCGCTAACGATGGGGGAACCCATAGATTTAAACACCATATCAGATAAAGGTATTTCCTTCTACAAAAATTTGCGGATGGTTTAAAGGAAGATGTCACCTATTATCCGGAAGAGGGACACAATGTGCTGTACAGGCCGAACCCCGCAGAAAATTAGGGCACCGCCGTTTTCAGTAACAGATATTTTGGAAAAGGAGTTATAGTAAATATTTTACTGTCTACGGCTGGCAAAGTTTATAAAGTGAAAGACAATTTAAATCGTCATCAAATAAAAAAGATGTATTTACGATGAAATAAATATAATTTGAAAATTCAAACTGTTCAATTTATTTATCATTACGTTGTCGTACATGCCCACTTGTTTAAGGCAAGTCATTGCTCGTTTATGTACTGCATTGTTTTCCATTTGTGTAATCCCGCAATGAATAATGGCACCGCACAAGATAGTTTAGGAAAGGAGTTATAGAAAATATTTCATCGTCTACTGCCGGTAACGTTTGTAAAGTAACAGATCAAATTGCCGTTGTTGTTTATTTCATAAATGTTTATACACATTCTTCTGTTGTCATTTATTTCAATTTGTTTAAGACAAGTCATTGATCGTAAATGTACTGCATTGTTTTCCATTTGCACAAAATTTGCTATAGATTTTGGTTCAACAAAAATCCGCCAGAGATTAGGAAATTACCAAGTTTGCAATAGATTAGGACTGTAAAAAATCTGCAATAAATTTGGGATGGCATTACGTCATATTCGCCATAGATTTGGAACCCACCATAGATTTGAGTCCTCATATATGTGTATTAATGTTACCCTTGTGTAGTGAACATGTATGTCCAATTTCCCGATTTAAGTTTCTCAAGTCAGATCAGAGCAAAAGTCATTGGAAACAGGAACGAGCTCTCACCATCGGGAATCATCATGTTTGTGAACTTTGTTGAAACAGTATTTAGTGTACACAATAAACTAAACATCGAAGGGATAGTTAAAAGAAAGGAAGGAAGAAAAAAAGAAAGAAAGAAAAACAGAAAAATAGTCAGTGGTACAATTACATAATGAAAATGGTAAACCATGAAAAAGACCAAAGATCAGACTGATTGTTTCAGTCTTTCCTATATGTGATTTGGATGGTTTATTCTTTATAATTCCTCTTCACCAACCATTTAAAAAGACCACTATGAACGAAATATAATGCGAACATGTTCTTACAGTACCATTTATTGCTTTGTGTTTTTTAGGTTCTTCTTGAAGTACCGTGTATGTTTATTTGTTGTATTTTTGGCCATTTCTTTAAAACTAGCTAACTTAAATATTTATTATAGTGACAAGTAATTTTTTGACAAATAGTATTTAATACGTTCTAAATAAAAATAACTATAAGAACACACGACCCTTTGGACCTATAATTCTCTGAAGACATTAAGGTCAATATCACGACAATCAAAAGAAATCAATTTCATAATCTTTCTTAAAAGTTTTTACTATTACAGTAAGTTCAAATAGATATATTGCGGTGTTTCTCGGACGTTGACAGTAAAAATTTAGATATTTTAACTGTTCATCTTTTAATCTTAATATAAACTTAGCATTTTTAAGAAATGTTTTTCTAGTAATTTATTTTAAAAATTACAGTTTGTGAGGAAGTAGAATTTGTTTTTAGTTTTCACCACACGTTTTCTACAATCGGTCATCTTTTGAATCACCTACAAAATAACCAGTTTCTAACCTAAGAGGAAGAATGACACATCTGTAGTGTGCTAATATAAATATTTCATTACAGCTTAGATTAAGTTCTATATCATGTTCCAAGCTGAAATTGCATTATGATTTATTAGTCTATATGTAAATGGTCGGGTTGTTGTCTCTTTGACATATTCCCCATTTCCATTCTCAATTTTATGAAATTTCGAAAAGTTTGCTTAAACCTTTCTCCCAATCTGCGGAGCTTTTGTCTTTAAGTACTCTCTTACACACGTGTTAGTCAATTGTGTCTTGTGAAACAAAGCTGTACTCCAATCCTCTATACATGTCATAAGGTTTTTCACTTCAGATATCAAATTTTTCGAATACCTTTCGTAGTACCAAGTAATGACGCGATTCAGTAAAACGAGTGTCATCCATAGAGAGAAGCTTGTCTCACTATCTTATATTACATCATCGTCGATTGTTTGCGTATTCTATATTTAAGTTAATAAACATATTAACAAGAGGCGGATTTAGGGTGGCAGGGGGCCCGGGCCCCTCCCTTATCTGGAAAAAATGTTGTTGCTTATATAGGGAATCACTGAAGCATGACCGGAGCGGGGGCCCCCTCTTTGGCAGTCAGTGGGCCCCCAATTATGAAAAATTCTGGATCCGCCAACGTTAACAATTGTATAATTTTTGAATTTTGTTTGTCTAAAGATGTTGATGAAACTCATTAAAGATATATAATCTTTCAAAATTGAACAAATATTTCACTTTAAGGACGGCCATATTTGATTTGATCTTACAACAGATGAACCAAGTTGTGTTATTTAAAGATTTAGATAATTGCTCAAACATTGTTTAGTGAAGTTTAAAGCAAATCTAAACTTTGTTTATAATTATATATAGAATACCACAAAAGTAAACACTTGAACTGCAAAGTTAAAACGTAGGACTTAATAAAGGGTAAATTAAAAAATTGTCGACGTATAATTGGTTTCGTGTGACCATTTAATTACATATCGTTTTAGAAACCCAAGGTTTACCACAATCATGTTCTTCTAAAACGTATTCATATAAAGCAGTTATTTTTTTTCTGAAATCGAAAATTGAGAATTGATTTTGACATTTTTAATGGAAGTTTCGTCAATGAATATTTCATAAATATTACAAGACATTACTGAGATATATGAAATGGAGAAGAGGAAACATAAAGAACTTGTTGGTGTTGTACTTTTCTTCTCTTATCTTGCTTTATTGCTCATGGAGTAGCATTTGGTTTACCATACTGGTATCGACAATCCTTCAGTAGTGTTGATGTTTATGGTGGATTATGGCAAATTTGTGACGAAATATCAGGAACAGCCACATGTACGGAAATGAAACCATGGGACAGTGATCTGTCGTGTGAGTAATTTTCTTTATTGATTCATTAATTCAATCATGTCATTTTAATTTTTGCATTTCATTAATTTATTTATCCTCTCTTGCATTCATTGGTTAGAACTTTCTTTCATTGATTGATTCTTATTTTCTTGCATTCAATTTCATTGAGAAACAAAATGATAATACGAATCAAATAAGCGTAGTAGTAAGCACCAATCTTGATAAATCCTTGAAAAATGGAATTTGTTGGGGAAGAAAAATGTCCAGACACCTGAATTATTTAAAATAACGAATATATCAATTGGTGAATACATAGCATATGTTATACAAAAGCCAGAACAATGAATTGACAAACTTTCTCTTTGAAATTTATATGAGTTTTGACTTGAATTCTACACCATTCCGTGATATCATATGCGTCTTAAAAGTAGCTTATAAAACTTTCTTCTAATCAAAAATAAAAAACTGCGCAACTGGTTATATCAAAAATGCTAGCGATTGTATGAACTATTATATTAACGGTAAAAATCAAAATTGTAAAAATTACAATTGCAAAAATCTAATGCAAAATACTACACAGAGACAAAATCAATTTCTGTTTTGACTGAAAAATATCAATAATAATCATGAATTAGCTTCTAATTCAAATATCGACTTGAGCCTGGTTTATTTGTTTTCTTTTTCTTTTTCGTTTTTGTTTGTATTTATCTATTGTTTTTCACGATACAAGATTTAAACAAAATACAATATTGTTCGTAAACGAAATCTAGAATATTTAACATGAAAAGGACATGACAATAATACACAGCATGGCGAATTTATAATACTGAAAAGTTAATATAAAGCACCACCACTGTTTGTTAGTCCCGATTTAAATTAGAAGAATGTTATATTTTATATATGATAAAATCAAGCTTTTGTTGTTTGAGCGCATCCTTGAGAGAATTAAATGAAAAAATTGAGACCTTTTTTTATATTTAGTTATAGCTCACACAACAAAAAGGAATTATTTAAGACAATGAATACAAATGAGACATTACATGTAAGAAATAAGGTTTGAATAAAAAAAACCATTCACAATAAAATACATTTTGTGTTAATTAGATATAAGCAGATGTGGTATGAGTGCCAATGAGACAACTCTCCATCCAAGTCACAATTTATAAAAGTAAACCATTATAGTTCAACGTACGGTCTTCAACACGGAGCTCATACCAAACTGCAAGCTATAAAGGGCCCCCAAAATTACTTGTGTAAAACCATTCAAATGGGATAACCAACGGTCTAATCGATATAAAAAACGAGAAACGAGAAACACTTTAACAAAAGACAACTACTGAACATTAGATTCCTGACTTAGGACAGGTGCAAACCATTGCAGCAGGTTTATATGTGTTAATGGTACCAAACCTTCACCCTTATATGAAACAATAGTGTAACATCACAACATTTTTTTTTTGAAATGGCTTAACTCGATCAAATAAAATAAGGGATGGATAATTAAAGTCACAGTATTTTAACGCTGAGAAATGTTAAACAATTTCAGAAAAACAATAACATTGAAAAAAAATACGCCATTTACAATAATATTATACACAGGTAAATGAAAAAAAATTGTTGTTAGGTATACAGTTAAAATGGAGAAAGGAAATGTTTTACAAAATAAATACTTTTGATGTTCATAGTACAAAGAAGTAAAAATTTATAGTAATACCAAACACTTATCAAAGCTGGTATTTAGACAAGATATAACCCTGCATAAGTAAACATTAAATAACAACAAAGAATTACAAATAGCTTAAACAGGTCAAATTATCAAGAAAGTACGATTTGAGAGTACTCGCAATTACTTACAGCTAGTTAAAAGCCAGCAACAATTAATGATAAAAAAATCATGCATCAGAGACTAAAATTAACTAAAACACATCCCAGGGATTTAGTATTTTAGCGTCATGGACAGTCAAAGAAGAAATGACTTGTGCAGGATAGTTAGGATTTAAGAACAGTTTTAGACAGTTCTGCTGACAGTTCTATGGTCAGAACTAATTTAGTCAGTTCTGCTGACAGTTCTACATTTAGAACTGATTTGGTCAGTTCTGCTGACAGTTCTACGACTAGAACTGATTTAGACAGTTGAGTTTTACAAGGCATATTGCGTTGCGTTTATTTATTCCACATTGGCTAGAGGAAAAGGCAGATGGTTAAGACCTCACATGTTTTACCGCGCCGCATTGTTTCGCCAGTCCTACGTCAAAAACCTCTTGCCTAATTTTAGACTTATACCTCGAATTTGACATACACAGTTATCTCAGTACCAGAATCTATGACAAACGAGACGATTTCAATTTTAAAATAGTCGATTTCCCCCGCCTTACTAGCAATATACGAACTTCACCTGCATATGGGATACACATTTCCCAACTTATTCGATATTCAAGAGCTTGCAGCTTCTACTCAGACTTTGAAAACGTCACCAGTGTCTGAGCAGAAAGTTGATGAACCAGGAGTATGTCAAAGAACGTCTCGTCCTTTTTCTAAAATATTTCATCAGAAGGATCAAGACCTTGTTGATCAATATTCCGTATCAACTTCACAAATAATAAATGATGGTCTTGAGGTATAGATTCTGTGTACTGACGTTGTTTACCATCTTAATAACGTGTTATAGTGTTCTTTTATTTTTCTTTATTAATATTACTTTTACTATTTGGTCTGTTTTTGGTGATATCCATTTGACGATGTTCTGTACTTATGCATCCCGTCATTGTACTATGTGTATTATCTTTCATTTTTGCTTATGTACTTTGTCCGTGTAACTTTATGTGTTTCTTTGATACATATGACGTGGCTCTGTACTTAAACATCCCGCCATTGTCTTTCATATTTGCTAATGTTTTGTCTATATGTCCTTTCGTGTTTCTTTTATACTTAATGACGTAGCTCCTTTTTTAGAAGAAATTCACAATAAGCATATAGACAAGCAGCAAGAACGACAAAGTAAACTTCTACTTTACATTCTGTAGAGGATATGCCTTGAAAAACAATAGACTATATTCTGTTCATACTTTGAACGACAAAATTATTTCATATCTCTACCTGTGTGATGTTGACATTTTGATCAAGTAATGTACGTCAAACGCGCGATTCTACGTCAGGGTTAATGTAAATCTAACCATTCGGTCCCAGTACTTAAAATCTTTCAATCCTTTATGGGTGGATTTACCATACATAAATAAAATACAAAAGTAAGAAAGCAATGAATGAGGTTGTTAAATTTGATATATGCTTTTTGTGCTTCTTTGTTAATCATTTGTTTGTTTTTATTGTGATTAAGATTATAACACAATGTTGACTGCTGTACCCCTATTTTTTTTACATATTTACCTATTACGTGTTTGTTTTGTTCACGCATTGTTGTCAATTTAATGGAATTTGATGCAACTGTCATACAAATGAGAGGTTAAGCTAGCTATAAAACCAGGTTCAATCCACCATTTTCTACATAAGAAAATCCCTGTACCAAGTCAGGAATATGACAGTTATTATCCATTCGTTTGATGTGTTTCAGGTTATCATTTTGCCATTTGATTCCTCGAAGTTAAGTATTTTTTCTATTTTACTTCTGTTATTCGTGTGTGTTTTTTTCAAATTTTGGTTCATTTGTATGTTTCGGAGTTTATTGAGGAGTCCATTTCTAGTATACATTATTGTTAAGGGTTCAGCGGAATTTTCTCGCTGCGCTGAAGACCCATTTGTGACCTTGATTCTTTTTGTGCTCATTGATGGGGTGTTATCTCTCTGACGCATTCCATGTTTTCGTTGTCTATTCTTTTTCTTCAATATGATTGTGTATAATTCCCTAGCTATCATATTTAATAATATATTTTAAGTTTTTTTCTTCGTCTACAAATAAATGATCTAGTACATAAAGGAACCTTCATATGCCAAAGGTTAAACTTGGTTAGATTAGCCCCATGATATGGTATAATAGTTAGTGAGGTTTCTGGGACCGTTTCTTATTTTACAAATTTTCTGAAACTGCTGTTTAATCTAACATTTTCTACTTAAGAAAATGCCTGTACAAAGCCAGAAATATGACAGTTGTTATCCATTCGTGGGATGTGTTTGAGATTTTGATTTTGCCATTTGATTAGGGACTTTCCGTTTTGAATTTTCCTCAAAGTTCAGTATTTTTGTGATTTTACTTTTTGTCCCTGACAAAATTTTAAGGTTTAGAACTTTTACGCGAGCTTGCTTCGAGATTAAGCTACACATGTGGTAGGTTACTTTAGTATTCAACCAGTCCCCATTTAATTAAAACAGTGGTAAACGTTTATATGAGTTCAAAACTCCTTTTAAAAATAATACATGTACATAGTCCACAAAACAGATTAAATCTGATTTACTACCACGAAAAACAAATATGATCTTAGTTTAGGAAATAGTAAGAAGTAGGTATTCAAATGCATTAAACTACAATATATTGATAAATTAAAAGTAAGTAATTTTCACGAACGAGGTGCATGTACGTACAAGTACTCCAGATAAAAAAGCGCGTTATCATTTCTTAATTTACATGCCATGATTTCTACTGCGACCACGAAGATGTTGGTGTTTCCAAACAGTTTCATACTATAATACATTATATATATTTTTTAGGACTGATGATTGGAGTTGCTACCACAGTGTGGGCATTATACCAGGCGGACACAATCAAAGAAAACAAGTCTTATGCTTTTTGGATCGAGTGTGGTGCTGGTGGATTGTTCATTTTATCTGCAATCCTGCTTGCACTTCCAATTTATGGCCCAGAGTCTTCCGTCACACCAACGACTCAACAAAATCATAGTTGGGCAAAATCTTAAATTTAATTTTTTGTTTTATACTTTTACTCTGTTTCTTGTGGCCGTTAAAACTATGTTTGTTTTTATTAGGTTTGATTTGATAAGTGATAAATACATTATTTATTATTAAATCTGTAACTGTATTTATTGTATTCATATAATTAAGTCACTTTTGTTATTGGACTAAAACAATTAGAAAAAAGGACATGTAGAGGTAACGTCAATATACTGCAATTTAGCGACGAAAAAAACAACAAATCAACAATTAAACGAAAATGTGTTGATCACATGCTAGGTATATGTGCTTTTTCAAAAATGTCCACTCTTTCGAACGAAGACTAGAATACAATTGCTAACTAATATATTCACTATCTTTTTTGTTAATGTATTTCTCATCATTTTTTTTTCTGGTATCAAAATCGTCATCTAAGAGTAATGATTCCTGTAAGAGGAAAACTGACAATTTCATAATGCTTCTTTTTTTAAGTAGATATTGTATTGCTGGTCATATTTTGCTTTTTAATGTCTTTATCTTTACATAACAGTTTTCAAGACAATATGAAAAAAAACGCGTTTAATTAGAGATATTGTCATTTAATTGATCTTGTCTCGATGCTGTTGCAGATAAATTAAATCTATAGTTTATATTTCATTTGGAGTATCTATGCAGCTAAAATGCATAACATTCTTAAATGTTTTTTACCGGCTTGTTAAAGATAGTCATTCTGAAACAAAAATGACACGTTCTACTGCTTACAAAATTGTAAAAGTCAACCGAAGCACATTTTGTATGAGGCGGTGATGACGATGGATGGCTGCTTAATGTCCAACGGCAAATTTTAATGTTCAATACCTCACAATTCATTACAAAAAAAAGACTCCATATGAGAGTTATTTCCCCTAATGCATATGAAATAAGTGATATGCATTTGTAACTTGTATATCATAAGTGATAGAGACATAGGGTCTGTAGATTTGAGGTCCTTGGTCCAAAGAATAGAAAACTAGGTCAAGATCAAATGTCAAGGTCAAATTCAAAATATTGACTTTTCCTTATACTCTATCTCCTCAGTCACTTTTAAAGATATACATAAAAGAACTAGTGCAAAATGTTTGCCTAATTGTTATTAAGATAGGAACATTTACTCTGAAACGATTCAATGACATTTGATAAGAGTTATTGGACCTGAAATTATTCTATTAAAGATTAATTGGTTATAGCTCCAACTTGGTACATGATAAAGCCATAGGGTCATTGGCAAACTGTTGGTTGACATGTGACCTTGAAAAATATCACCCGGAAGTGACCTGGAATTAACCGGAAGTAGCTTTTATGCACTTATTTTATTGAAAAGTACCTAGAAACTTAATATTTTTTAAATATGCATACATAAATCATTAAAGACCGGAAGTAAATTTTACTAAACCGGAAATACCTAATATCTCCAATATTACAGGCAAAAGTATATAAAAACCATATATTTTGGGAATCATGTGAGACCGGAAGTGACATTTTTTAAACCGGAATTAAACAATTATCTCCCTTATAATAGGCAAAAATATATAGAAACATTTATTTATTGAATAAGTATGAAGAAACCTATGGTTGAACGCCAAAAGTAACTTTGAGTAAACCTAAAGTAGCTTCTCATCATTAGTTTATAAAATTGATGTGGAAAAACCTTCAATTGTTCTCTGAACAACTGGTTTTTAATTGTCATTGGTTTACATTTGCAAATCGAAAATATGCATGGTATATTCCATTGCGACAGCAACCCAAACAAACAAGACAAAAGTACCACATTACATATGACAACTAAAATGTAGAAGAACATGCATATAGATCATACACCATTCAGATATGAATCATAATTATATAGTTTATTTAATCTACATATGGTTGTATGATAAAGATATCAACAAGACAATAAAATAGAAATAGTCGGAGAACAACAAATTATACTTTTAATATGACTGGGCAACATGATCCCTATCAACAAATTGGAGGTAACATGAGATTATCAGGGATGGTAAGCCAACCTGCTCGTGGAAACCATTACAGACAGAACATTTCCGGCAAATAATACAGGTTTTTGCTACTAAATTCATGCCCTAGTGTTCACAAATCCCACATTTTCCAAAAGATCTTAATTTTGCACCTTTGATGGCAACTTTCAACCGAAATGAATTTATCTATTATATCAAATGTCGTCATCAAGTGAAGCAGTTTATCAAGTATATTTTGCATTTGGTCCGTAATACTATCCTCTGGTGAATATCTGTAAATTTTGGTGTAAAATTGTACCCACTATAACATTTTCAAAACTGTAAAAAGTCATGCGAGACTAAACTTAGAATCCAAATGTTTCAAGAATCATGCCTTCATGGACTATTTTGTATTTACATTTACAAAGAGACAAAATGTGGACTTTTAATGTATAGGGTTTTTTATTGACCCTTGGTGCAGATGGGGCTGTTCTTGTCCATACTTAGCATGAACTACTTGCCACATTAGGTTAAGCAAACAACCATACATTTTCAATAATTGGAGATAAATCAGCCGTTCATTCCTGTCATTGTTTCCTGACTTCAAACTTTTCCAGGTTGTCATTAGATTATCTTAATTTGAATGACTTGCAATTCAGACAATGATGATGTCAAGTGTTCTGTTGCATAAACAAACATGGTGATTATTTCATTTGACCCTATTCCTCGTCAATACTGCTCCTTTAATTATAAAATCAGTGCACAAAAGTTAATGTTATCTGCTTGTAATTAAGGCAAGATAAATTAACCGATGTTAAAATTTGATCAATCGATTTTTGGGGACAAATCAAGGTAATAAACGAAAACTGAAAGAAATGACCGAATTCCAAAAGGGACGAGACTTGATGAGTCAATCAATTGTGTTCATAAATATAAAGCGGTTGAAAGTTGTATACTTTTGAGCTGATACATTTTGGGAATGTCTTGGCATGCATTATTATTGATACTGGATTATTAGAACTCAACTGATTAATAAACTTTGATTTTATTTCGAAAACTAAGGATTTTTAATCACTAAAATGGATTACCTTAGCTGTATTTATCAAAACACTTTGTAATGTCGGATCCCCAATACTCTTCAACTATGCACTTTTAAAATCAATTTAAATTCGGCTAACTATGATTTTATTTAGTGAATGTCGGTACAGATATAGATACCTAACACAAAACAATAAATTTTGTAAGCTGATATAATGAATACACTTAGAAGTAGTAAATAAGCAGCCTGGTGAATCTCATTCAAAGTTTGTACGATCACGGAAAATAATTGAATTTAATTGGATTAAAAAATTACAGACAGTCTACCCTCTCGGTCTTAATGATAATATCATGGGAATTGGTAATATATATATCAAGAACCGATTCTGTTAACATTTTGGATATAAATTATTAAGAAGGGATATAGTTACGATACTGTTGTCAGGTCATTAATGATTGCATATTTTGGCTTTAATATTGATTCACTTATAGGGTCTTTGCATCGGAATTAAACACATTTATTCTAAAACCAGTTGTTGGCATGACACGGGTTATGTTCTTCTCATATATTTTATGATTGTATAATACTAAACCCCTAACGGGAGGGATTGTGCTTGATATTCATATGATGAAGACGTAATCTTTCAATCAGTTTAATTGAGGTCTGGAGCTGGCATGTCAGTAACTGCTAGTAGTCTATTGATATTTATGTATTATTGTCATTTTGTTTATTTTCTTTTGTTACCTATTCTGACATCGGACTCGGACTTCTCTTAAAAGAGGGACGACCGATACCAGAGGGACAGTCAAACTCATAGATCGAAAAAAAACTGACAACGCCATGACCAAAAATAAAAAGACAAATAGACAAATAATAGTACAGACGACACAACATAGAAAACTAAAGACTTAGCAATACGAACCCCACCAAAATCTGGGGGTGATCTCAGGTGCTCCGGAAGGGTAAGCAGATCCTGCTCCACATGTGGCACCCGTCGTGTTGCTTATGTTATTACAAATCCGGTAAATAGTCTAATTCGGTAGGTCAGATTCGTGAAAAGGGAAGGGTATTGTAGTTACGACATAAGGAACATATCCGATATCATCTGTTAAACGGTTATTCCATAACAGTCATCCAACTCGTGATGGCGTCCGTAAAATTTACGAAGGAATGATTTCAACTTCACCATTTGGAACTTTTGGTTTAATAGCTTCCTTGTGAGCAGCAATCCTATATCAAGGAAATCATGATAGGAAATACAAGCCCGAGAATATCGTATCAATTGCGAGATATATACTCCGTATGCAGGCGCTGCTGGAATGTTGCTACATAGAAATGGAAAGTTCACAATTGGGAAGCTGAAATCATCTCTTTTGTCGTAAAGTTTTGTTTTCAACCGACCCTCATTGTTAATTTCTAGATGTAAGTCAAGATATGAGGCAGACTTAACTGTATATGTAGTATTCTTTATCTCTAGTTCGATGGGATAGATTCGTTCAACATAGTCACCAATTTTTGTATTTAGTGAGAGAACATCATCTATATAGCGGAACGTAAAGTTAAAGGATATTGCTAACTTCTTATCTTTCTTCCTAAGAAGTTCCTGTATGAAGTCAGCCTCATAATAATAAAGGAACAAGTCGGCAAGAAGAGGGGCACAATTGGTTTCCATTGGAATTCCGACAGTCTGTTGAAAAACACGTCCTCCAAACGTAACAAATATGTTGTCAATCAAGAAATCAAGCATCTTGATAATGCCAGTTTCAGAGAATTTTTTGTTTGAATCAGAGTGATTCTTTACAAAGTAGAATTTATCCCTCCCCAAGACAAGATACTTGTATCTACGTTCGCCATTCTTTTTAATGAAACAAAGTAATACCAACTCTTTCAATTTGTCTTTTAGTTAGGAATGGGGAATACTTGTTTAAAGTGTAGAAAAGTCAAATGGTTTAATACTATTACAAGATGAGAGAGTCTTAGATTGTATGTACTCTAAAAGATTTTTAAGAATTTTTTAGTATCCACATCTGATTCACGCCACCTCTAGAATAGGCAGTTTCACAATAACTTTAAACTGAGTTTTACTGTTCGTATTGTTGTGCGTTTGTTTTTTCTACATTGGCTAGAGGTATAGGGGGGAGGGGGGAGATCTAAAAAAACATGTTTAACCCCGCCGCATTTTTGCGCCTGTCCCAAGTCAGGAGCCTCTGGCCTTTGTTAGTCTTGTATGATTTTTAATTTTAGTTTCTTGTGTATAATTCGGAGTTTAGTATGACGTCCATTATCACTGAACTAGTATACATATTTGTTTAGGGGCCAGCTGAAGGACGCCTCCGGGTGCGGGAGTTTCTCGCTACATTGAAGACCCATTGGTGGCCTTCGGTTGTTGTCTGCTCTATGGTCGGGTTGTTATCTCTTTGACACATTCCCCATTTCCATTCTTAATTTTAATTTTACATACATAAAGGATGTTTAATCAGTTTTCAAAGGTACCAGGATTATAGTTTAATACGCCAGACGCGCGTTTCGTCTATATAAGACTCATCAGTGACGCTCAGATCAAAATATTTATAAAGCCAAACAAGTACAAAGTTGAAGAGGTGCATAGTCACTTAATACAAACGGTAAAACAAACAAACAAAAAACAAAAAAAATTACAAAAAAGCGCGAGTTTTGGCTAGCCACAAAATCAGGTTTAACCCACCATATTTTCTTAAAATGTCCTGTACCAAGTCAGGAAAATGACAGTTATTATCTTATATATATATATATATATATATATAAGTAGATTTGGTATGATTGCCAATGAGAACACACTCCACAAGAAACCAAATGACACAGATATTAACAATTATATGTCACCGTACGGTCTTCAACAATGAGCAAAGCCCATACCGCATAGTCAGCTATAAAAGGACCCGTTTATAGTTCGTTTCTATGTATGTTGCTTTGTCGTTTGTTTTTTGTTGCACTTCAGTGTTTCTTTTGTTTCGGTTGTTTCCCTTTTATAGTTGATGTGTTTCCCTCGGTTTTAGTTTGTAACCCGGGTTTCTTTTCTCTCAATAGATTTATGACCTTTGAACAGAGGTATTCTATGTTGGCTTTATATATGTCTTTATAAGATCGGGAAGTTCATATAATGCTGACAACCCTTGGTAAATACCATTTGGTTCGATCATCTGGTCTCCATACGGTAAAGGATGTTCGAAACTAGGGCGGTAAAATGCGCTTACGTAAAATATTATTTGACGCAACGTCAAATTGAAACAAATCTGGAAAAGATGTTTAATTGTTTTACCAATTTTATCATTCATAATAAAGATTAAAAATGAGTACATGGAAATTTGTATGTCTAAATGAAATTTGGTTTAGTTATGGTCAACTTGGTAAATTGTTTGTTACGGTAATATCATTTTTTTGAAAATTCACAGATGGATTTATTAAGATTAGATAAAATACACAAAACAAACAATCATAATCAAGATCATTTAGTAGATATAAATTATTTCTAAATAAATAACACATTAAGAGCAAACTGATGTACAGAAGGTATTCAAAATAGTTTTTTTTAATAAAATTTTCCTTGTGTTATTTTTAGAAACACAAAAAGAAATATGTCTTCCCAAATGATACAAACAACAAACAAATCAAGTTTCCAAATGTTACAAACGCAAATCAAATCAAATTTTGAGTAGTAAGTATTTCAAAATTCGATCCAATCTGCATGTATCTGTATAAGTATGATATCACATTAAAGTGTAGTTTTATTACATACTTATAATTTGCTAAACAAAATAGTGTGTATCTAAGTTGTCTTTAAAAATCATCGTGTGACCGAAACTGCCATTAAATTGAGACAAACAATTATGAATTCCATATTTGAAGGTTCTTCAAAAGAACAGATTAACAAAGTGAGGCCAATTAAAATATTTTAATGATTGTTCCAACATTGTTTAGTTTGTAAAATAATTAATACGTTCATCTTATCCCACAAAAAGGAAATAATACAAGGTTAAAACGAGGGATTTAATCAAAGATAAGTGGAACAATTATGTCTCATTTTGATCCTTGTGATTATTTTTTTGAATATATCGGTTATGAGATAACTTACATTAAATCCGCTTCTCAAAGGTTTGAGTATAAGACAAATATTTTTTGTTTCTCCTTCTTTTAATTGAGAATTGACTAAATTGTTTTTAACATCCTGGATAAAATACAGGTCTTGTAACCATGCTTTGTTAACATAAATATGACAACACACGACTCTTTTTAATGGTTTAATACCCATCGGGATCCTCTGTTTTTCTTGTAATTATACACACCTTTAAAAATGTGGGCTATGGACTAATTGCTAGAACTGAAAGCAGAAAGGAGTGTTTTCAGAATACGTAAATAAAGCGTCGACGCAACATCTGTATTTTGATCAATTTATTGCTGATATATTACAAATGGAGCGTAGAAAACATAAAGGGCTTGCTGTTGTTGGGTTTTTATTCTCTTTAACTGCATTTGTTGCCCATGGAGTAGCATCTTATTTGCCATACTGGTATGGCCAGTCTGATGGTGATAATAGTGTATATGGTGGATTATGGCAACTTTGTTCCAAAATTTCAGGAAAAGTAACGTGTTCAGACATAACTTCTCCATTTGAAGATGATAAGCCATGTAAGTATTTATCACTTCATTCATTCATATGTACAGGTCAGGTCATTAAATATGGCACGTTTTGGAATAAATATTGATTCACTGGTAGTGTAAAAAGTAAAATCACAAAAATACTGACCTGTCCTTGCATCGAAAATAAATACATTTATTCTAAAACCAGTTGTAAGCATGATACGGATTATGTTCTCGTATATTTTATGATAGTATGATACTAAACCCCTAACGGGAGGGATTGTACTTGATTGAGGTCTGGAGGTGGCAGTAGTCCTTGGTTTGTGTATCATTGTCATTTTACTTAGTACCTTCTGTTACCTATTCTGATATATAGTTGTTTAAACTTCTCTGTCATTTTAGTCACTGTTGGAGAGTTATCTCATTGGCAATCATACCCCGTGTTCTCATTTTACTTTATACATTTAAATACACGATATATTTTTAAAATTTAATAAATGTTGATCTTTGATGTATATTAATAAAAAAACTGAAAAAGTTTATATACAATCTAATTAAAAGATCAATCCGATCACCAATTTTAGGCCTTAGCATGTTACAATTTCTCCAAAACGTACCTGTTTTTCACATCCATGGTTAGTCTTCGAATACACCAGTCTGTTTTTTCTAGTGAACTTTTCATTAAGATATAAACATGATAAATATTTTCGTGAACATAACAATTGTAAAGTTGTGTTCATGTTCAAAAAGTAAAGATTGATATTTTTACAAAAAAGGTTGTCCGTTACCAGATTTGTTTTCTGTTTTGGTACAATTTAAAGAAAATTAAGTTCATTTTTGTATTTGCGATCTTTTCGATCTATTCACATCTAACATCGGGATATGGTCCGTTTGAAATTTATTTAATCAATAATAACTTATATCCAAAATGTGTTCATTTTTGTTGCTGCCTATCGATATATTTCTTTGGAATTTATTTGTATAGCAATATTCTAGGCAAAGGTCATATAGCCTGATGTACCCGTCGTTTGCTATTTTAGGAGAGAAATGTTAAATTATCATTATATGGAAACTTCATTTTTATTTCAATTTATATTTTTTGTTGCTATTTTCTAGAATGTTTTCTAGTAATTTTGATAAAATTATTGAAATATAAATACAGCCGGAAGCTTTTGACGTTTGATGCTCTTTTGCGAGAGATGTCTTTTAATGAGATCTTGCATATCGGAGCTTCTGACGATGAATATAAATAGAACATTATACATGTAATATGTCAGAAATCAGGACCTTAAGTTGAAAAGAGTTATTCACACTTAACAGTTGCGTAACAGTATTAAATTAGTCAAGGTTTTTTTTTATATAAAATGCATTTTAATAGTTACTCTTTTTATATTGTAGGGTATGTGAGAACATGCCAAGGTCTAGCGATGGGCGCTTCACTCTTAACATTTATCGGCGTAATACTACTTATAGTAAAGCTGTGTAAAGGAAAAGAACCTGGCTGCACAAGTGCCTATCCTGTCTCTCGTGTTTTATTTTTTATTGGAGGTAATTTTTTACGATAATTTTATTGTCATATATTTGTCACACTACATTAAGTAAAAGATAATTGATCAATGAATCTCAATATATATATATATATATATATATATATATATATATATATATATATATATATACAAGTCTAAATTGAAAACAACGTTCAAACCTATGATTGCGTTGGATAAAACCCGCAGTTTTTATACGTGTGCATGCAAAACAAATTTCTTGTTAGAGGGGTCTAAATACAGCACAAACAACATTTTCCAAAAGATCAAAAAAGTGAAAAAGTATATTTTAACAAAACGCATTTGACTAACAGGTCGAACAACAAATGTTCTTAAACCCTGCTGACTGCCATTAGCGATTGCCAAATAAACGGATCACCGATGTAAAAAATGGATCTTAATTATAAATAGAATACTCAACAGAAAACAATATATGTAAGCGGCAATAAGTGAAATTAGGCATTAAGCTTAAATCCTAGGCAAAAAGCTAACGCCTAGGCATTAAGTTATTGCCTGAAATTTTCAGGCATTAAGCTTATTTCCTGTTTCCTGAAATCTGATGATGATTATTCAACCTATTGCCGAACATAATTTTAGGCAATAAGTGAACTCTGGAATTTATGTATATTCGGTGATGTATTCTTGATATAATGTATTTTCGAAATTATATTCCTAATATTAATATACATTCATTTGACAGATCATCAAGTTTTAGTAATTTCATTTTCAAAACAGAATTAACTCTTTTTAGTATTACAAAAAATAAAAAAGATTTAAAACAAAGTGATTGTACTCTAAGGTATTTTGGAAAAGATACATAAAGAAACAAGCTCTAAACAGGTCATGGTGGCAGAGACCGCATGATTAAACAATTGAATAATGAAGTCAGGATTTTAGTTCGTCAAAATTATCTCGCCATTACGCCACCTAGTTTTTATAATCGTAAAAATGGTAGCCATTGCAGTGATTACGTGCTGTAAATAAGCTTTTGAAAACCGATAAATTTGTCCATATACTATCATTACGATCCTTATATGCCAGTCGTATTTTAATAGACACATGTATCTACTAGCTTTTGGGCATCATTTAATGTACTTTTATGCATTTGGTCAACTTAAAACTATTGTCTGATCGGTTGTCAGGGGAAATTTTTCGAAAGTTCAAAAATATTTTATAAAACTGAAAATACTACAGAAAACATTGTGAATGTCCCTTATATGTCAGAATCAAATTCAGAACCAAATGTGGAAGCAACCCATCAATCATTGTCCAAAGGTCAATGATTTTTCAAATGTGCATGTAAATCCAAATGTTTAAGTCACCGGTGCAAATGCAAAAAAAAAAAAAAAACTGGAAACCGTGCAAAATTCGGTGCCACAGTTCCACAATTTGTGATAACATATGATTTTAACATAAATATCTATCAAGTTTTCATATTTTTTAAAGAATTATTTGATGAGTTTTAAAATAAATAGTATATTTTATTAGTGATTTTGTTTCCGGTAGAAGACATTTTAAACTTCAATTCTCGTTATGTTATTATGTAATAAATGTATTTGTATTTAAATGAATAAATGTCTTTTATGTATTTATATTTTAGGCATTTAGCTTAATGCCTGCACACATTCTTCAGGATTTAAGCTTAAATCCTAGGATTTAAGACTAATGCCTAACATCATTTAGGCAATAGACTTACTGCCTAGGCGTTAGCTTATTGCCTAGGATTTAAGCTTAATGCCTAATTTCACTTATTGCCGCTAACATATATGTATAGTATGGTAAATTAAATTGAAAATAGAAATGGGGAATATGCCAACGAGACAACAGCCCGACCAAAGAGCAGAATCATTTAGTTCGAACTTACTTTATTATGATCATTTACCTAGCAATAATATATATGCAATGTTACATAGTGCTCGGTTCAATATTGTATACTTTCCTTTTAAATTATTATAGATCGGCAATAAAGAAACTGTCCACTTCCGAAAGTGACATTTATATCGACTAGCCTTATTTTCCAGATATTGTGATTTTCTCGATATTGAACTATTTGTTTGTTTTGCACCATCTCGTGGATTTGTCTCCTTACCTCCCTACCTTATATTGATTGATGAGCAACCATGCAGCTATACCATAATATGAGGAAAAGAAATTGTCTTCAACTATAATGTATTCGTTAAAAAATCAACAACAAAGGAACTATTCATTTTTTTGTACATAAATTAGGCCGTTAGTTTTCTGGTTTGAATTGCTTTACATTTGTCATTTCGGGGCCTTTTATAGCTTACAATGCGGTATGGGATTTGCTCATTGTTGAAGGCCGAACGGTGACCTATAGTTGTTATTTTTTGTGTCCTTTGGTCTCTTGTGGAAAGTGGTCTCATTGGCAATCACCACATTTTCTGTTTTTATATTGACAACTTAATGGGAAATTTGTCAAGAGTCAACAACCCGACCAACAAGCAGGAAACAATCGAAGGCCACCAATGGGTCTTTAACACAGCGAGAAAATCCAGCACCGGGATGTGACAAGAGCAAGTTACCACTGTCTCAGGTTGGGAAGAGTGGGGCGTCTGCTAACAAATTTAATCACGCAACATTCTGAATGTGCATGTCACAAGTCAGGAACCTGTAATTCGATGGTTGTTGTTAGTTGCTATTAGTTGAAAAGTTTTAAGTGTCTCGTGTCTTTGGTTCTGTAGTGTTTTAAAATACAGTTAGTAGGCCGTTGTCAATTACTGGAGCAGAAACGGTGACCAAAAGTCTGTATCGCCCTTTTGCGTCAAACTACCTATTCCTATATAACTTCTTCACATGTTTATATAATTTCAGTTCAGTAATGTGTTAGAAGACTTAATAAAAATAAGGTGTTGTTTGATTGCCAATGAGACAACTATCAACCACAATAAAATGAAGTGGGTGTAAGAAATTAAAGGCCATCGTACGGCTTTCAACAAAGAGAAACAATGAGTAATCATACAAGTATAAAAGATGTTTAGCTAGCCAAAAAAAAAACCAGATTAAATCCACCATTTTCTACATGAGAAAATCCCTGTACCATGTCAGGAAGATGACAGTTGATTTTTATTTTACCATTTTATAAAGAACTTTCCGTTTTGAATGTTCCTAGGAGTTCGGTATTCTCGCTATTTAACATAAAACAGGAGAAGCAGTCTTCTCGGTCGGTTGGTTGTTTTCATAAATTTTTATCTTTTTAAAAGAATTATACGCAGTGTCATCCAGTCTGATTTGAAACATGAATGAGAGTATGCGATATTCGCTGTGCCTAAACATATCCTTACAATAAAAGCTAATATATATGTAGTCTTATCCTTTTGCTGTGAGGGATGCATGAATATTGAGTCCATTTCGGTTTTAACTCTATAGAACGGTATTGGGGAAATGCTAGTCTGTATAAGTCATATAAAACAAGCAATCACTTTTCTGAGACGTTTATTATATAATTAGTCATGACATGTAGAAAGGACTTAACATCAATTTGCTATTCCATCTTAATCTGGATTCATTAACTCTGTCACTTCTTTATTGAACTTCAGGACATGTTTATGACTTTTTGAAAGTAAAATAAATTTAAAATAACCTTAATTTATGTAGGTTTTTAAGTGAGATGCATATATATGGAAACGACCTTTTACTTGAACAGTTACATGTAATTTAACCATTTTTTTTTAGGCCTAATGATATTTGGTGTGACCGGAGTGTGGTCGGCATATCAGTAAGATTTTATTAAAGAAAACAAGTCGTTTGCTTACTGGATCGAATGGAGTGCGGGTGCTCTTTTCATTGTTTCTGCAATACTGCTTGCAATACGAAAGTATGCTCCTTCAGATCCTTATAGGAATCCAACAGCTCAACCAAATCCAAATATGACACCAACAGCTCAAATACATCTAAATATGACACCAGCAGCTCAACCATATCAATATATGCCGCCAGCAGTTCAGGCATATCCTTATATTGCGAATCAGGGTTTCGTGAGATATTAAGTTGCTTTAAATTAAACACCTTTCCGTTATATATTACCATACTTGATAACTTTTAACTCTGTTTTGATTTGTACAAAATAATACGTTATTAAAGAATATCTATATAAACTGTTCATTTTCTTTATAGATCACTTTTTTGTTTTAGTTTTTAGATAAGAATATAAGGAGATAATAGGATATTAGTCAACAGATGTCAAAAAAATCAACAACACAAGAGAATTAAACAGATGCATAGTGATTGCGCTGTCCTTTCGAATTATAGTTTTGTTTACGTTCCTTGTATGTAACTAATGCGAAATTGAACAAAAAGCAAAATGGACGAAAGCGTTAGTTGATTCTTTATTGAAATGATTGTCCTTAAAGGAACTGTTTTATCCGTTTTATCTTTTACAAAAACTATAATAGATGAAGTTAATTTTGAAACAGCAAATACCGGTATAATCCCTAGACAAGATCTGTAAATGAGTCAAAATGACTGCAATCGCTAATCGATTTGATATGAAAGCCATTGCCCTTCATTGACGATTTTTGTCGACTTAACTTCCCAAAACAGCTCGTCATAGATACCAGGTTTGAAATTGTGTGCACCAGACGTGACTAATTTCGAAGTTGAAGTATTGACCACCCAAAATTCCGAAAAGTTTTACTAAATACAGCGAAGGTAATCTATTTCTGAGGAACAACAATCCCTAGAATTACCTCTTGGTGAGAAACTATACCTGCAGTAGAACCAAGGAGTCCGAACACCTGACAAAAATTCCTAAACTGACCTAAGTACATTCTTAAGGTATTAAATGTATAAATGTTACCTTTTTGATATCATTTTACTGAGGGTGTTGCAAATTTTCAGCAAAATTAAATAATTTTATAAACTAAGAGATTTACTATGAGATTAATCAAATTTTAAAGCCAAATCAGTGGCTATTCTGTTAATTGACTGATAATAAACATTGTATATAGTACAGGAAAACGAAGATTGTTCTAGTACCTGATGATGTACGTCCAACGTGACTGCTGGTTGACGAACTGACCATAAAAGTACTACCATTATCAAATTAACCAATTATTTGTGTTTAATTTCGTCGAACTATAGTAGAATATTCTGGACTTCGGGTTCTTTCCTCACAAACATAGCAAAAAGATATGTCGCTTTGTGTCTGTGCCTAGGGAAATCCGACTTTGTTTAGTGGCTAACGAAATCCATGATAGGAACACAACGTATCATGTTTTCATCAGCCGGGTTAGTCCTTATGAAAGTCATGTGATTTCTATTTTTTGCAAAATGGTAGGTCGTTAAGCGTAGATTGTTTTGGTTTAATATCCTTGGGCCATATAACATGAAAAATGAATGTCATGGTCGTGTTTTGAATTTTAACCTTTGTTGGTTTTTCCATTCTCCTCTAAAGAGAGATAAAAATGTTCTGGTGCTATATATTTGGTTTAGTAAGAATCTTATATATTTTGTATAAATGAGAAATTGATTTTATCTTTGAACGAGAGAGTTGCAAAGGACTACCTAAATCTAATGACGACAATCATATCTACCGAACTATAATTACTGAGAAGCATTTAAAAGAATCCGGGCTGAGTATGCATAAAACGATTAAGTTAAGATTTCCAATCGTAGAACATGTACTTATTTATCGTAGGACATGTAGAAAAATCCGTCCGTTCGGAACAAATCTTAACTTTAGTTGCTTTATGCCTACTGGTCCGGACTGCATACTAATTGTTCTTCCTCAAGATGATGATGGATGGCTGCTGTTTAGCGTCTAGTGGCAAATTTATATTCATATCGCAGACGAGAACATGTTTATGAATATTTACCTGCTTTGTACTAGAGCGACACGCAGATCTATATTTTTAATGTGCTAGTTAACAAAGTAACAGTCCACAGGAAGACATGTCACCCTACTCGGACTCATAATTGTGAATCCGGGCCGACCAGTCTGCTCTCTCTCCTTAATTCAGTGCATAGCGCAGAAGCAGCAAATGACAATTTCAAAGTCTTTGGTTTGATCCGCACTCCAGTCAAACACGTTTACGCTTGACCACCGATGCAGTGTGTTCTTACTAAATCAAAGATCACATAATTCTGTATCCGGGTACATAATTCTAAATATGGGCCGACCAATAGTTCTGAATACGGGCCGAACAGTCTTTGGTCTCTCTCTCGTTAATGCAGTGCATAGCGCAGAAGCAGCACATAACAATTTCAAAGTCTTTGGTTTGTTCCACACTCGAGTCAAACACGCTTACGCTTGACCACTGATGCGGTGTGTTCTTACTAAATCGAAGATCACATAATTCTGTATCCGGGTACATAATTCTAAATATGGGCCGACCATTCTTTGCTTTCCCTCTCTCCTTAATGCAGTGCATAGCGCAGAAGCAGCAAATGACAATTTCAAAGTCTTTGGGTTGATCCGCACTCGAGTCAAACATGCTTACGCTTGACCACCGCTGCGGTGTGTTCTTACTAAAGCCAAGCTGTAATAAAGCTTTTTGGAGAATTTGAACTATATCACTGGCTTTTAACTTTACTAGGATTTTGAACGTTCCTGATAAAGGTAAATTGAGAAAAACGTTTTGGTTGCACTATATGATTTTATAATTTCATATTTGACAGTTGACTTCAAAATCTATGGTTTTATTTTCATAAGTTCAATAATCTGTAACCGGCAAAAGAAATATTGCAAGTTAAAATGTACCGATGGTAATAATTTTTGTTTTTTCTAAAGGTTAAACAAAATAAATAATCAATTTTCTAAACTTTAATAACTTTATTATCACAAAATAAGTTGCATCGTCGGAATTGAACAAAGACAAATAAAGGATGTGCATACCTTACCCTTGTGTATTATATTTGCCTTCGGGTTTATATGATCCGTTCATCCTATTTTGACTCTTCAAAATTCAAGAGTCAATCCCAAATTGAGATAAATTATATGGCCTTCCAAATACTGTTTCGATTCCTAACATCACTGAAGAGACATTAATTGTCGAAATCCGGATATGGTGTACAAATTTTTGCACCTCATGTTTGCGGTATACCATCTTTTCTGCAAGTTTATTGTTTTCTGTTTGGTATTTAATTAATAAGCTCCATTTTTACATCTGGTGATCCGTTTATTTGGCAATCGCCATGGCAGTCAGCAGGGTTTAAGAACATCCGTTGTTCGACCTGCTAGTCAAATGCGTTTTGTTAAAATATACTTTTTCACTTTTTTTGGTCTTTTGGAAAATGTTGTTTGTGCTGTATTTAGACCACTCTAACAAGAAAATTGTTTTGCATGCACACGTATAAAACCTATGATTGCGTTGATAAAAACCGCAATTTTTATACGTATATATATATATACAAGTCTAAATTGAAAACAACGTTCAAACCTATGATTGCGTTGGATAAAAACCGCAATTTTATACGTGTGTATGCAAAACAAATTTCTTGTTAGAGGGGTCTAAATACAGCACAAACAACATTTTCTAAAAGACCAAAAAAGTGTAAAAGTGAATTTTAACGAAACGCATTTGACTAACAGGTCGAACAACAAATGTTCTTAAACCCTGCTGACTGCCATGGGCGATTGCCAAATAAACGGATCACCGATGTAATAAATGGATCTTAATTATAATTTTAATGCTAAACAGAAAACAATTAACTTGCGGAAAAGATGGTATACCGCAAACAAAAGGTGCAAAGGTTTTTGTACACCATATCCTGATTTCGACAATTAATGTCTCTTCAGTGATGTTAGGAATCGAAACGGTATTTGGAAAGCCATACAATTTACATCAATTTAGGATAGACTCTTGAATTTTGAGGAGTCAAAAAAGGATGAACGGATCATATAAACCCGAAGGCAAATATAATACAAGCCCAAACGAAAAAATATAAACAAGTCTAAATTGAAAACAACGTTCAAACCTATGATTGCGTTGGATAAAAACCGCAATTTTTATACGTGTCCAAGCAAAACAAATTTCTTGTTAGAGGGGTCTGAATACAGCACAAACAACATTTTCTAAAAGACCAAAAAAGTGAAAAAGTGAATTTTAACAAAACGCATTTGACTAGCAGGTCGAACAACAAATGTTCTTAAACCCTGCTGACTGCCATTTGCGATTGCCAAATAAACGGATCACCGATGTAATAAATGGATCTTAATTATAAATTTAATACTAAACAGAAAACAATTAACTTGCGGAAAAGATGGTATACCGCAAACAAAAGACGCAAAGGTTTTTGTACACCATATACGGATTTCGACAATTAATGTCTCTTCAGTGATGTTAGGAATCGAAACGGTATTTGGAAAGCCATACAATTTGCATCAATTTAGGATAGACTCTTGAATTTTGAGGAATCAAAATAGGATGAACGGATCATATAAACCCGGAGGCAAATATAATACACGCCCAAACGAATAAATATAAACAAGTCTTAATTGAAAACAACGTCCAAACCTATGATTGCGTTGGATAAAAACCGCAATTTTTATACGTGTGCGTGCAAAACAAATTTCTTATTAGAGGGGTCTAAATACAGCACAAACAACATTTTCTAAAAGACCAAAAAAGTAAAAAAGTGAATTTTAACGAAACGCATTTGACTAACAGGTCGAACAACAAATGTTCTTAAACTCTGCTGACTGCCATTGGCGATTGCCAAATAAACGGATCACCGATGTAATAAATGGATCTTAATTATAAATTTAATACTAAACAGAAAACAATTAACTTGCGGGAAAGATGGTATACCGCAAACAAAAGGTGCAAAGGTTTTTGTACACCATATCCGGATTTCGACAGTTAATGTCTTTTCAGTGATGTTAGGAATCGAAACGGTATTTGGAAAGCCATACAATTTGCATCAATTTAGGATAGACTCTTTGAATTTTGAGGAGTCAAAAAAGGATGAACGGATCATATAAAGCCGAAGGCAAATATAATACAAGCCCAAACGAAAAAATATAAACAAGTCTAAATTAAAAACAACGTTCAAACCTATGATTGCGTTGGATAAAAACCGCAATTTTTATACGTGTGCATGCAAAACAAATTTCTTGTTAGAGGGGTCTAAATACAGCACAAACAACATTTTCTAA